CGGGGCAGAAGTGACGTGAGTTTGCCCCCCCCCCCCCTAGCGTCTTGCTTTGGAACTGCAGGGGCACTTCAAAAGAGGATACTAAGTAATTCAAGAACCGGTTGACAAATTGTCGTGATTTTTTGTTTGTGGGTAGCTTAAGTGATTCGTGACATAATTCTGTGACAATCATGCAGATTTGGATGTAATTTGCTAAATTTATGAGGAAATTCTATAAATTAGTTGCATCATATGATAGGACTATTCAAGCTTGTGGCAAATGTAATTGAGAACGACAGAAACGCAGGCAGATTTTGATTATGTAAGAATTGATTTGCATAATTGATGAGAAGATGTTATTGCTTAACAATAAAGGCCGACATTTGCTTTTGAGCAAATTCAGCATGGCTTCACCACGTTCTAGACATGGCAGGGAAAGAAGGAGAAAATGGAAAACAATAATTTATAATTTATATATGAAAAGACATCTAACTAAGAATGCAACAGTTGAAAAGCTATCCCCTGTTTTTTTGGTTAGGATTCTTATTTGCATAATGCAAACTGTTGATTTTCAAGATTAAAAAAAAACGTTTATGCCCCGCATTCCAATGCTTGAGCAAGAAAGTTTGACATACCTATCAAAACACTTGTCGAATGCAGTGTCAATATGGTATGGCTATGTTAACCCTATTACATCTCAACAGCCAATCAGCAAGAAGAATAGAGTAAAGCAGCTAAGTTCGTTTAACCCCCAAACACCCGAACGGGGTTCCTTTGGACCCCAGACGTATATTTTTATGTGCTATTTGAAAATGTTTGATTCGATAAAAAATTCCTCCCGTGACTTTGTCAATAAACCTCTTCTTCAAGTTCTCCTAAATTTTTTTTGGAGATCAACACAAATTCGCCTCATCCGATTTTTGCATAAATTATGTCAATGAGCTGGAATTTTTAACACTTAATCATGCCAAAATAAACGTCTTAATATGTTAAACCAATATATGTGCAAAGATCACTGAAAGGATGCGAAAAGGTTGCCAAAAATATAAATTTGAAAGAAACCAAATGGGGTCCATTTGGACCCCGTTCGGGCATTAACGTCACAAAAAAAGTTCGGGTGTTTGAGGGTTAAAGATTTTTTAAAAATTGGTTTAAAAATAGCAAGGTATATATGGAAATGTAGGTAATATGACATGTTTCACCGATTTAAAACCCAAAAGACTCATTTTCCTGGCTAATACTTGTAAAACAAAACAAAGTAACTTTTCCTATTATAAGTATGTGGTAGCATGCACAGGTGTTCATTTACCAGTAAAGTAGTTAAGGGAACAGCCAATCAGCGACCAGATCTCCAAACAGGGTGCACCTGCTGCCCATATTTGGGCATTGGCCCTATGCCCAAACATGGTCACACTCCAATCTTGGTAACACACACATTACCTGTAACACAGCCAAAAAGTCCAAATAAAACAATTCTAAAAAGCAGTTTCAAGAAAAAGAAAAAAAAAACTGGGGGTATTTGGACACTGTACCTTCATGCTAAATTCCATATTATTTGGTCCAAAAATGACGGAGTTGAATCAATTTAAAGAAATGGCAGGGAAAGGAGGAGAAGGACAAGAAACAAGAGGAAAAACAATATGACTTGTCTTATTGCCAGAATATGTGTGGTAAAGCCATAACAATGGTTAGTGCATGGTATTTCATACTTGGCGTATTTTAAAGTTACGTGAAACTGAACGTTATGAAACATATCATTAATAAAAGAACCTCATTTGCATAATTTATGAAGAAATACTAGAATGGCATTCTTTGTCAAGACTGTCTTTTGTTGGAGAATATTTTCAACTTATATAATTCATTGAAATGAAGATCCTTTTTGTATAATTGGGGGGTCTAATTTATAATTTGTCAGTTATAAAGATTAACATCATTTGGCGAAGGTATGAGGTCGTGGATTGTTCAAACCTGTTTTATTATAAATTACAGTTCAAACCTACTATCGCAAAACTTCTAGCAACAAGATGGTCAGAAAACACAATACATATTTATAACCAGACTTTTATTAAATTTTTCAAATCGAGCTTTGGTGGTTGTCTAGGTTAAGGTTATGACATTGACGACTCAACAACTATACAAAGATTGAAGTATACGAATTGTCAGATTTTAAACGTACTATAATGTACGTTTAATGCCTCACTTGGTCAGTCTACTGAGGAAGACCAGAGTGACTGGTCGGAAGCTATAGGTAAGAGAATTTTTGTGTTGGACCGAAAGTTTAAACTCTTATATGTAACTATCAACACAGATGAACTTTCATGATAGTACTATAATGTAATTGTCACATAGTATTAATATCAAATAGGATTTCAATTGTTTATATCGATACTATTTATCATATCCGCAGGAGTCGCGTGCGGAGCTCTTTCCTCACCAGCCCATGGTTCTATATCGGGTAGCCACTACTATGGAGACAGGGTAACCTTTAGCTGCAGTTCCGGCTATTATCTCCAGGGGAGCTCTTCACTCACCTGTGGGGCAAACGGACAATGGAGCGGAACCCAACCTACTTGCCAACGTAATCATCTTATCTTGTGCGGGTGGGTGGGTGTGTGAGAGAGAGAGAGTACGCGTGTGTGTGTCTGTGTGGGTGAGAGAGAGTGTATGTGCGTCTGTGTGTGAGAGAGGAGTGAGAGAGAGTGCGTATGTGTGAGAGACAGACTGTGTGTGTGTGTGTGTGTGTGTGTGTGTGTGTGTGTGTGTGTGTGTCAGTGTGTGCGTGTGTGTGTGTGTGTGTCAGTGTGTGCGTGTGTCAGTGTGTTCATTGTTAACATGTAAAATATTTCTGCACAAAAAAAGGGATTAACAGATTTTATAGTTATAGTATATCGAAGACCCTTGCAATGATTGGGTCTTATTTATCAATTGGGTCATCTTGAGCTGTCTGTGTTGAACATGATATTGCTTTCGGTTTAACTTTCAGGGATTATGTTATTATATCCCCTATTAGCTCCTATATAAGCAACAGCGGTGTTCATTTTGAGCTGACACGAGCTTCATGTTTGTAATCAATTTCTATTAGGCCACACAGTCTTAATTTTATGGATGACATCCGCGCGCGCATTGAATTTCACCTGTTCTCAACAACAACAAAAAAAGATCACGTCCACCGAGGCTCTGGCCTGGCTCTAGGCCTGGGTAGTCCATGGTAGTTAGTGACAATACGGAGCCGGGCACCCAGGCTACCGAAGCTCCACGACTCAAGGACTCATCAGTACATACGTACAGTGCCGATTCATAAATTCCGCAAAAAGCCGACTTGTCGTATACGTCGCTATATACTGCCGCAAATTCACAATATCAGCTTTTTATTCCTGTGGTTTAGCAGTATTTTCATTTTTTGGCCGGATTTTTTAAATTCACGCATGCGCACTAGTTTGGGGGCCTTCAGAGGATGTCATCCATAATATTAAGGTGACGTGGCCTTAGTTGTATTTCCATGATGTTGGTTTTATGGAACTGCTTTAATCCCTGTGTTATCAAATCTAACAGGAAAGAGCTGCCCCAGCCTAACAGCTCCGACTGATGGTGCGATGCAGGGAACGAGCTTTCTCTTTACAGACGTTGTCACCTTTTCATGTCACACTGGGTACGAGTTGAGTGGATCCGAGAGTAGGACGTGCCAAGCTGACCAAGTTTGGAGCGGTTCACAGCCAACTTGTAACCGTGAGTTGTTTCGAAAGGACTAAACGTACCGTTCTTTTTTTCTCGATTCCAATGTAAAGGATTTTAGTAGGAAAAATAACTTATCTTGGGACGACCGATATTTGATGGTCGCACATTCTGTAAATGGAGGAGCCTCGCGTCACGAGAGGTAATTTGGGCGGGCGGGCGGATTCGTCGCCGAGCGATTCAGGAGTCATGGTAGTGGGATGGCGTAGCTAGGGATGGGTTCAGCCGTTCGTAAGCGGCAACACACCGCTGACCACTAGTGTAGGGTATCTAAGAGGAGAGACTGTTGAAGACGTCTGTACTCTGTGACTGCCTTCTACAACCGTCTTGTCAAACACAGTCCTTTACTTGAGGAGGTTTAATCAGTTACAGATGTGGACTGCGTGGTGACAGTTATGGCCAGTTATGACAACTTCCTGTCACAGAGGACACATTGCTACACTAGTCTATGGGTGATTTGACATGCTTGTTATATACTTTCTTTACTTTTAACATTTTATCAAATGTATGATGCAATCCTATATTCTGGTTACAGGAAAACTTTGTCAGCAGCTATCATCTCCGGATAATGGACAAGTTACTGGTGGCCACGCCTATGGTGACGTCGCCAGTTTCTCCTGCAGTTCTGGGTATGAGCTGGCAGGGGGAGACGCCACACGGACCTGCCAGGATGACCAGCAATGGAGCGGAACTCAGCCAACATGCGCAAGTAGGATTCGTTATCGTATCCAGAACTGTGCCTATCTACTTCTATGCCAGAATGGGTTAGGGGTAGGATCGGACAAGGTTTTGGATAGTCTATCCCTATCCCAGAAAGTAGATTTCCTCCAGATCGGTTCTGGATACTATCCAAAACCGTGCCTTGTTATATTTCATTGTTTAGTACCAAAGGGTGAGTCAGAGACGACAATCAAATAACTAACGTTGGACGAAAATCATATGATTAACATTATAAATTAACGTTATATTTATAGTCTAAAATGTTTAGACTTTGGAGTGGCGTCGCCCCAAATCTGCGGATTCAGATGTTGTCAGAAGCTTCAGTCACATATACATTGCAGGTCATACGTATGATTGCATTTTCTCCCCTCTCAGGGCTAGGGTCCTGTTCTGGTGTAATTTTAAACTAGATTCTGCCTTTGAATTGATTTTAATATGGTCAGTGGATTGTCTGTAAGTATGTGCATGGAATGCAGGGCTCGAAATAAAAAATTCAGTGCACATTTTTTGGGGTGCACCATGTAAAACAAAACCCAATTACAGATCTGTAATAATAACTTCAAAATCTTAGACAAGTACTACTGTACAACAAAGATCTAATTATTTTCTGACACTTAGATGCCAATATCATGCATACTGTCATACATTTAATATGTACAAAAAAAACTACAAAAATATTTGGGTGCACCAGTGCACACACAGAAAACTATGGGTGTACAAGTCCAATGTTGGGTACACTAAGGTGCACATGCACCCAGTATTTCGAGCCCTGGCATGTATGGTGCGCGCCCCTCTGTTTATGATGATAGATATACAGATGGCTAGACGTTTGCCTTTTGAAGTGGCGTAAGTCCTAGGCAATGTTGTCCTATAAAGCTTACTACTATCACGTACATGTAGCAAGCTACATTTTTCCTATCGATGCTCTCTTTGGTTCGTCTGCAATGTCCCTAACAGGAAAGCTATGTCACAAGAGCTAAATTGTCATGACACACAGGCATATTTGCTTTGAGAATATAATTGCAGCTGCGTATTAACCTCTATTTTAGGGAAAGCCTGTACAACTCTCGACCCGCCACCTAACGGTGCTGTGTACGGGGGCCACCTGTATGGTGATACGGCCACGTTTGCCTGCGACGTCGGGTACGAGCTGAGCGGGCCTTCCACCATAACATGCCAGGATATACAGACATGGACTGCGGCGTCACCGACATGCGATAGTCAGTGAATAAATTAATAAGATGCTATTCATTCAAATTCAAACTTTTTTCATCAACTTGCAGTCCTTAGAATTAGACTGAATTGCGTTGATTGTACAATTTTGCCAACTATAAAAACACCGTACTGTTTATAATAAGCAACATATCATCAGTTAAAAAGATATTACACGACATAATCAATTAATTAAAATATGGTAAATATAGTAAGAATACATGGACGACGTAATGGACACACAGTGATAAAAGTACGTAATATGTATAAATGTGATGTGGACGACAGAAAAATGATAAGTAATTACATGACATAAAAGTGCACACACACACACATATATAAATAGAAATTTTGATGAACCAAGTATCAAAAGTGACCACAGTAAGAAAAAAAAGACCCATACCTCGGTCAAATATATAGAATTTTGTATATAAATGGGGTTAATGAAACACAATCTTGAAATTTTATGAATTTTCAGAATGACAGATAAATTCGAGTGATGAAAAAAAAATGATGAAAAAACTGAACATGTCTCTCCTGGCAACATCACCGAAAAACAGTAGTATTTATAACCTTTGCTTATTTCGGCTATTATTATTTTAACAGTTAAGTACTGCAAGGCAGTATCCGCCCCTACCAATGGACAGGTATCGGGAGGCAATCTTTACGGCGACACCGTGACCTTCACATGTGACACAGGATACGAGCTTCTGGGTTCTGCCACCATAACGTGCCTGGCAAACGAGACATGGAGTCATAGTCCTCCTGTGTGTCAGAGTAAGTAATTAAGTCTTGGTATTCATAATTATTAAAGTGGTTTATTGTCAACTTGACTGAAATTGTCCACAGTTTGCAGCCACATGAATTGATGTAAGGACATTACAATGATATACAAGTAGTAGACGTTCAGAATTACAACTCACACAGATACAGTTTAAAATACACACTAAAATAGCTCATTAAAATAACAGTATTGATGATGTAAAATAACATAGTATTAGATCTGTTTAAAATTATACCTTTCTGGGAGTAGTTTATAAAATGAAACCCCTTTAATAGTAGCCCCGTGTCAGTTGGGAAGACTTGGATATATCCTCAGCCAAACGAATATTAAATAGATGAATAAAATTTATAAAACAATTGAATGAAATGTAAATGAGGTTGAAAAGTCTGCAACCAGTCACCAACGCATTAACACAGTATACGGTTATACGTTACGATCGCAAATACACATAAGTGTACATTCTTCTCTATACATATAATGTGAAGGATTGTTAGGGGCGTAAACTTTTGCCGTTGCTATTGTTCTGATGCAGTGGTGACTTGTCCCGAACTTTTGCCCCTGGCCAATGGACAAATGTCTGGTGGAAATCTTTACGGTGACATCGTCACTTTTGTCTGCAACCCTGGGTACGAGTTGAGCGGCAGTGACCAACGGACCTGTGGAGCTAATAAACAGTGGAGCGGATCGCCTGCAGTTTGCAACAGTAAGATTTAAAGTCTTCTGGACAATTGAAATGACCAATCACCTGTGCGATATTCTTCACAAATTTCTCATGTCACCTTACCTTACAGCTGTTGGCATTGCGTATACAGTATTAAAGGCCGTGTTTATGTGAAGTCACCCAAGGCGCTTTACGTGTGGTTTACCCCGAAGCCGGTTTCAAGTGGCTCCACCTGAACGCTCCAAATCACATTAAAAGCGCCTCGATCCCAAACCACTTCTAGAGGTGGTTTCGAATCGGTTTTCCCGCATCGCGATTTGCGTCTGAACGCAATGTGATTTCATTGTAACTTCGCCTGGTCATGGATTATGGGGTGATATTTCTTTATTTATATGCAATACCAACTTTGACGTGACAACAACTTAAAGAGCAGTATTGGTCAAATAATGTGTCCGTTCTACGGCGAGCTTCACCGCCTCTGGCGGGACCACGTCGGCATTCGGCCTAGATACGCTGGGAGGGGGGGCATCAGCAAGCAGGTCGTTGACCTCTGACATTGATAACACGCTACCTTGCGTGTTTTCATCAAATAACAATAAATGTAGCTCATAAATTTCATAAATTTCATAAATTTCTTTAGAAAAGTTGAATACTATATTGCTGTAAGAAAAGAAAAGGTGGAAAAACATCTGGGAAAATGGGGCACTTTTGGTGAGTAGAACTGTTGTGGTTAACTTTTATATATAACTGTATTTACATATATACATATATATTGCTATATGTGTATGTGTGTGTATGTATATATATGGATATATATGTGTAATGTATATGTGTATATATATATATATATGTATATATATATATATATGTATATGTATATATATATGAGTCTAAGAGTCCTATTGTGTACTCTTATCACATGTCTGATACTACAATTACATCTGTAGACAGTATGCCTGACCTTGGGGTCATTGTCCAGTCGGACCTTCAGTGGAACAGTCATATCTTAAAGATGGTAGCCAGGGCCAATTCTATGACTGGTTTCATCAAAAGAACAGTCGGGTTCAACTCTAGCACTGATGTACGCAAGGCACTGTACACCACATTGGTGAGAAGCATCTTAGAATACTGCTCACCTTTGTGGTCTCCTCAGTCCCGCAAACTCATGTCCCTTGTAGAGGGGGTGCAACGGCGGGCGACTAAATTCATTCTAGGAGCCCACTCGAACACCCAGACCTACAAGGAACGTCTCTCCACCCTTGGTCTGTTGCCTCTTGTGCACAGGCGTGAAGTTTGCGACGTCATGGTGTTTATTAAGTCTAAACCAATTGTTCACAAGTATGTATCCTTCCCTTCCAGACCCTCTAGATACCTCCGATCGCACATGCTTACCCCCATTAGAGTAAGGACATCAGCCTTCAGCTCTTCTTACATACCAAGGCTGGTCACCATCTGGAATCAGCTGTGTCCTGTCCTCCGTAATATTGGGGTTCAAGCCTCTGAAATGTCCAACATCTTGACATTCAAGCGATCGCTTGTGAGAGCCACGTTTATGAGATTTGACACCCAGTTCAATATCGACGTTCCCTGCTCCTGGTCCACATCTTGTGGGTGTGCCTCATGCACTGCTTTAAGGCCGCATTAGTATCATAATTAGCTTTTTAATCTGTACATAATGACATTTGATAATTTTTGTACATAATCAATTCTCTGTATAACTTTTACCGAATTGTATATTTCATGTCTACTGATTTTTGATGTCTTATGTCTAATGTTTATTGTTTGACTTGGTTCCGTATTGTTTTGTATTATCATTTCAGGTTTGGGAGGACAACTTGTAAAGGCGTTGATACACCTGTTTTGTCCTCCCTTCCACTTGTTTTTTGCATGTGGTGAATTCAAATAAAGAAATAAAGAAATAAAGAAATATGTATGTTACATATATATTACTATACTATATATTACTTATATGCAACTATATATTTCGTGAGATGACAATTAGGTATGGATGGATGGTTCCCAAATTTATGTTACTTCTTTGTTACTAATAAAAAAAAAAAAAAATAAAATGTAGCTCAGGCGAATTGTGATCGGACACGGTTTCAAAGGAATGTGTGGCACGTGGACCAGATGTGAGGGATGTGAGTTACCCGAATCGCGTTTTGGGTGACTTCACATAAACACGGCCTTTCAAACATCCGATATGCTTACTTGTACTGATTGAATAAGTACTCACTGGTATAATAATCACTAAATCTACAAAAAAATAGAGAGGCCGACATTTGCTTGGGAGCAAATACAGCATATTTCAGTCCATCTCCCTCCCTCGCAAAAGTGGACTATTCCAAACTTACCCCAGTGTAAAACTGGCAAAGATTCTCAAATAAATTAATTATATAGTAGCTATGTAAGTGAGAACAAAGATGCAAGAACAAGCACATTGAATCTCGAAAGCTTTACTAATCTTATTACAGGTATGCAAATACTAACAATGATGAGATTTGATACATGTTGAAGGTGTTAGGCACATAAAATTGAATGTGTGGGTCATTACGCACGACTTACGTGCAATGTGACCCCAGGTAACCCGCAATGGAACATGTGTTCCATGGCCAACGGCAGATGGAACAGGCCATTTTTAGATAGAACATGGAACGGGTATAGCACTTTTGGCCCTTTTTTTGCTGAGAAGGGCCATTAAAGTCCCCCAAATGAGTCATTTGGAACTGCTGTATGCCAAATATATGACTGCTATTCTATAGACACATGTTCAAGGTACCCTTATACCGAATTTCAGATCATTTGGTTGTAAAACCAGGGCTCAGGATCCAAAAATCCATTTTTTGGTGAAAAATGCCCCAAAAAACCTTCATAAAATTTTTCAAAGGCATTTATAAAAAAAAAATGAAAAAAAAACGCCTGGGGGTATTGGCCCACTCTACCTCCATGCCAAATTTCAAGTCATTTGGCTGAATGATGGCGGAGTTGAATCCCTTTGACTGTTTGGCAGGAGAAGGAGGAGGAGAAGAAACATGAGAGAACACAATATATTTCATCCATACCATGGTATGGATTGAAATATAAATAGACTAACTCCACTTCTTAAATGGTAGGCTGGTAGTCTCTAACTAGATGAGCACACTGTATATGACAATCCAGTTTTTCCTTCCTTGTCGTGTCAGGGGTAAGCTGTCCCACGTTGCCAACACTGCTGCACGGTTCTATCAGCGGGGAGACTCTCTATGGCGACCTATTGACCTTTGACTGTGACCAAGGATACGAGTTGTATGGCAACGCTAATGTGACGTGCCAAGCCGATCAGACTTGGTCTGGAACAGCCCCGTTGTGCAGAGGTAATAAGCTGGGATCATGTTGTGGCTTCTACAGGGGTTATCAGTATCTGATTTGCTAAGTACAGATGTGTTAACATGTATCTAGTAGGGAAAAATGAACATTGCAAGGTGTCCTTTTTGAGTAAGAATACAATTATTTCCTTGAACTAAATATTCGACTTAATTCTCTTGAATTAAGTCAGGTGTCGGATGACGTAGTGGTAGAGCGTTCGACTATGAACCGGTGAGACCCGGGTTCGATCCCGAGTCGTACCCGGGACATGTCTGGACATGCGCCCGACGTTGTGTCCTTGGAAAAGGCACTTTACACAACCTTCCTCACTCCACCCAGGTGTGAATGGGTACCTAACTAACACAATATGTTTCACCACACTTTGTGTGGTGAAGCCATAAAGTAAAAAAAAAGAAGACATGCTAAGATTTATTTTACAAACACTTATTTTTCCTTTGCAATTATGCAATCCTCTATGCCATATATATATATATATATATATATATATATATATATATATATATATATATATATATATATACATACGCAATTTATTGGTCATCACTACAGTATGGTTATTATAGTAGTGTATGCCATGTTTCCTATTGACATGAATGTGCCAGCGTGACAGCTACCAGCTATAGCCTCCACCAAGTCTCCGTTGGGTGGTTTGGTTCTGAATTCGACAAAAAGGGACTCAAATGTCCAATTGTAATAAGGCAAGATAAGATTTTACAAGACTCTCAAATCCGAATACTCTTATGAAAAATACTTATACCACAATGAATTTGACGAGCGAGCTGCCACGTGTAAGATAAGAGAAAAGGCCGCTATAGAAAACTACCTGTGCACGAGAGATTATGTAAATATTGTACAATGAATGCAGTGGAAAACGAAATACATTTTGTTAGCCAGTGTCCTCACTATGAGACCGAAAGAAACAGATTATTTCAGACAGTTACAACAATTTCTCTATCCTTTCGTCATTTAGAAGATCACCAAAAGACTGCATTTTTACTAAGATCACAAAATCCACTAATTATGCAGAATGTGGGACTATTCATTATCCACTGCCTTCACAGTAGCTAGCGTAGTAGTAGATGTAGAAGTTTTTTCCAGACAGTTGTAGAAGCAATTAGCCTTCGGGCATGATTTTGCAAATAAAGTTTGAATTGTTTTTCAGCACGCATTGTTAATATGGAGGCAATGCAGTATACGTCATGAGACAAAATTGCCTTTTTTCTTGACCTGATCATCATTCCTAGTGGTATCGCATGTTGTTGAATTTTTTTAAATTTTATTTCCTGTTTCTTTGTCAGAAATACTTTGCCCCCCACTCACGCCTCCGCTGAATGGGCAGATGGCAGGGGGTAACGCATATGGCGACATAGTGGTGTACGTATGTGACGCAGGGTATGAACTGGTGGGAGGAAACGTGACACGTACTTGTCAGGAGGACAAGGAGTGGTCAGGGACACAGCCTGAATGTCACAGTGAGTATAGGAATGATCTTAATTGCTCGACAGCTGTACAGGGTACAATGTATGGCAAAAATGAAAAGGTATAACCATCACAATAATACTAGTCTATTCCTACAGACTATGACTACATGAATATGAATGTAAATGGCTCATTGACATAATGTACATGAAACATTTCTGTCTGCCACAATTTTTTCTCTATTTTCTAAAACGCTACATACATATTGAACCTCGGTACATAGATATGCATCTGTAGGAGGGATATGGCATAAGTAGGTTGAAAATGCCTAATACTAAGTAGTATTTCTCGTCTTTGGCAAAGGTTTACTAGATTTACTTGTGATTATATTAATTAATTTCCTGTGAGAGCCCTGCACTACCCAAGATTTGTTTGCGTTAGATGTTGTTCCTTTGTGTCCTCAACCTCAATTTCTACCTCAGAAATAAGTTACTTCTTTCCCCTACTATCCTAGCGTTCCCGGCGCTTCCCAAAGTGAATGGCAAATACCCCTCTCATTCTACTTATATTTCTACTCTCCAGCCTCATGCTGTACAAATGCTGACAATGTACTTCTAATAAGCCTTCCTGTCATGTGTTTCCACTTCTGTCATCCCATCTGTCTGTATAATAGTTGAGAAAATATGATGATAATAAAAGGAATTTCACATACTACTCGGAACACCTTCAAACTAGACAAACCAAAAACAAACAGCACTAAAAAAGCCTTCACATATAGAACTACTGCAGCATGGAACTCTCTTCCACATGGGCTGCAAACAGTGGCATCACATGAGAAGTTCAAACAAGGCCTACTAAAGCACACGAGGGACATAAATAAGTAGAGCACATACGATGTTACACACTTGTTTTCTTTTAAAATACTATCATAATGTAATGTGAATGTATATGTAATTGTATGTGATGTATTGTTATGTCTTACATGTATGTACCCTCTCCTGGAAGAATAGCTGCCACCCTCAGGTGGGCAGCTAAAGGAGAGTTTTTAATCAATTAACCTCAATAAACATACTGACTTAAAGTTTGCTGTGTGATACGGTTGTGTGAAATGTGTGTAATATGGTCAGAGAAGACACATTATTAGTAATGTTTAAATGATAATGCAGTTGAATGCATTCTTTACAATAATTGATCAGATAAATGTTTAAGATAATTGATTACTCGATTAAAGGCTTGTGTTTCAAGCTTCTCACACGAATGTTTACAGAGGTAAGCTGCTCTCAACTGATTGCACCGACAAATGGCAGCGTGGCCGGGGGGACGTCCTTTGGTGACTATGCGGCATTCACGTGTGATGCTGGATATGAGATAGTGGGATCAAACATCATGTTGTGCCAGGCCAACCAGCAGTGGAGTGGGACACAGCCTTCCTGTCATAGTACATAGGCCGTGTTTTTATCTGATCTATAGACAACAAGCTATATCAAATATGCATTTATCTTTTCTCTTGCACATACATGTGTAACCTTTACACACCTGTACATTTTGAACAAATAATACTTTCTAGACGTCGATGAAGGTTAGACATCCCGGTAATACGATACGCCAAAAAGTAGTTACTCAAGCAACTGGATATGATTTTGGAAACGTCAGACGTTTCAGCTAGTATCCACTAGCTTTCGTCAGTCACTGACGAAAGCTCATATCCAGGAATCATATCCAGTTTCTTGAGTAAATGCTTTTTGAATACTTTCTAGAACTTGAACATTGGACAAGCAAAAAATACTAAAACATTTCTGTGAAAAAATACGAAAACTATTTTTCATCCGTTATAATTTCTGTGCCAATAGAAGTCAGGTACATCGTATGAATCAGGTCGAAGTGTCAACTCGTCGAGTAATTATATTTAACAGCTCAACAGCCTTGAACGGGTTTTCTCTTTTACAGGATTGCAGTGTGCCACACTGCCACCCCTGATGGACGGCCATATGACAGGAGGATCCCTGTATGGCGACACGGTCACTTTCAGCTGTCACATGGGGTTTCACCTAGTGGGCAGTTCGGAGAGAACCTGCCAGGCTGACCAGCAGTGGAGCGGTACTCAGCCGTCCTGTCAGAGTAAGTTAGATAAACCTCGAGCTCAGCTCTCTTTTGTTTCTTCTGCGGAATATGCTATCGGATCCGCACTAAACATTCTCGGGCTCTGTCCTATACCCTTTATTCTCAAAGAATATGGACAAGAAAATGACAGACAAAAGGTTTAATTTCTTTGTTTTACAGTCCAACGGCGTAAAGAATAATGGAAACACGGAGCAAGCTGTATCAATTTGTAATGTTGACATAGCATGAAAGCCAATCTTGTCAACTTACTATCGGATAGCTTTTTGTCGACAGCATAGCCTCACAGAGATAGAACAAACGCACAGTCCTAAATTGTATTTGTGTATATATGTAAGTGTATGTATGTATATGTGTATGTGTGTGTGTTTGTGTGTATGTGTGTGTGTGTGTGTGTGTGTGTGTGTGTGTGTGTGTGTGTGTGTGTGTGTGTGTGTGTGTGTGTGTGTGTGTGTGTGATACCTACGTGCGATCGTGGGACTGCAAGGCAGAAGAGACAGTACAGACACCGAAACAATGGAGTCAAGCTATCTCATAATAGCATGTATTTCAATTCTCGTTCTGTTAAGGGAAAGAATGCCCACCGATCACTGCACCGGACCACGGCAGTGTGTCTGGGAGTCATCTCTTCGGATCCACCTTGGTGATCTCATGTGACCCCGGGTACGAACTGGACGGGACTGGAAGTAGAACGTGCCAGGCGGATCAGACGTGGAGCGGTGTTGAACCCACTTGCAAAGGTATAATGTCCTCGCTCTATTCTTGCTTGTGTAATCGATCTTAAAGGATCTTTTTCGACTCAGCTTGCGTTAGTCATTTGCACTGTGGAATATATGGCGTGTTATAGTTTTGTAACCAAGATGTCCCTGACTCCTACCCTATTCAAGCTATAACATGTGCCGCCCTGGATCCACCACTAAACGGCGATGTAAGCGGAGGGAACTCGTTCGGCGACACTGTCACATTCTCCTGCTCAGTGGGATTTGTACTGACTGGCACCGCCAATCTGACGTGTCAACATGACAAGCAGTGGAGCGACTCCGTACCATCTTGCAAAAGTTAGCCAAACAATTTCCTAATAGTTAACACTTATGTCGTTTGTCCTTATATAATGTTCTTCAAATTACAGAAATATTTGTCTATGTAACCTCAGCTCTCTTTATTGCTTAATTGGGATCTATAACGTCTTTCATATTACTTTCAGTTAATTGTTTTAACTAAATGTGAGAACAATCTTGCATTATTATTGATTGGATTCAACAACCTAATTATCTTGATGAGTTTCTTTATGATTATGATTATGACATAACTTAAACTTGTGAATTATGATTGATATCATTGGTAAATTAGAATTCATAAGTTCAAGTTATTTCGTTAATTGTATCATCATACATATTCTTCTACATTGATTGAAAGGTTTTATTCGTTTCTGAACTCTGTTTTTATCCTGACTGATTATTCATCATTTGGTAAATCTAGTGATTAATTGTGATGTGTATGTTAATTACCTCTTCTGCTTTTAATGTTTCCATTATTTATGTATATGTTGCTAGAACCTGAGGGTGACTAAAATAAAACAAAATTACCACTAGCACATATAACGTTACTTGATATAAATGTCTCCAGCATTCATCAAGCTGATGATCATAATATTTCTGACATTTTTTTTTAAATTTATTCCAACATGTAATCACCAGACGTGGTGACGGCACACTCAAGTTTTTTTCAACTTATATTAATGCCGCCACCAACACAGGGGACAAATACATAACAGGACAATACTCATTTTCACCTGAGTGAAGTGAGGAAAGTCGTGTAAAGTGCCTTTCCCCAAGGGCACAAGATCGGTGGCATGTCAGGACTCGAACCCGGGACCTTTAGGTTCCGAGCCGCGCACTCTGTCGCTACGCCACACGACCCCACACTGCCACTTTCTGACATTTGGTTTACTCACTTAACTAATTATCCATAAACGATAAGGTTCCAATGATTGTTAATCCTATAACATTCTGTGTCCCCGACAGGAAAGGAATGTCCTCTCCCGTCTACGCCTAACAACGTCCAGGTAACAGGAGGGCATCTCTACGAGGATGTCGTGACCTTCTCCTGTCTGTCCGGGTTCACTCTCAACGGCAACGGGACAAGTGTGTGCCAAGCCGACCAGACCTGGAGCGGTCATCCGCCATCTTGTGACCGTAAATAGAGAGCTCACTTTGCATCCTAGTACTAGAATGTAGCTTGTTTCAAAACGGTAAACCCATTTGTATACTGGTAATGTTATCCAGATTGCCAAAATTGTAGTCATTTTAACGGCAGCGAAACCGCATATTATATTGCACAAGTATAGCTACTAGAAAAGGCATCGCGCTGCTAGAAAAACCTCAGCATGCTGAGGATAGATAACGACGAACGTTAGGACAGACTCCTCTACTGCGTTCTCCGTAGCTACATGTGATATTTAATTGATAACAACGCACCCATGTTATTTGCATATTTTGCTAAAAATTAAAGGAGTCCAATGCCCGGCCTTGTCATCACCTACCGATGGCAGCTTTAGTGGCGGCTTCCTCTACGAGGACGTGGTGACCTTTACCTGCAACGAAGGATACGAACTGTCGGGCACCCAGACGGTGACCTGCCAAGCTGACATGACTTGGAGCAGCTCGGAACCAACATGTGAGAGTGAGTGTCTGTGGGTCTGACATATCAGTCATTAAGATACTGAAAAAGACCCCTGACCTACCTCCCCTTGACCTCTTGAAAAACGGCTTAGGCCGAAGAGTTGTACTTCTACACACATGTACTGTACATTTTCAAGGTGAAATAAAGGTTAAAAAAAAAAGAAAAGATTAAAAAAGATTAGCCAAAAAGATTATGTTTTCGTAGGCGTTCGTGAGAGTGAGAGAGAGAGAGAGAGAGAGAGAGTAATTGTGCAATTAAGAATAAGAGAGACACAAGCAGATATTGATTCTGTATAAATGAAGACTTAATTTGCATAATTTATGAGAAAATCTTATAATTCCTTAATGGTAACTGCCTGTAATTTCATACTTGAGGTATTTGAAAGTTTATTGAAGGTGAACATCATCAAACATAACTTATTCAAATGAGGACATTATTTGCATAATTTCTGAGAAAATGCTAGAATGGCATTTTTCGTTAAGATAAGACTGTCATTTGTTAGAAAATATAATCAACTGTTTGTTATAATAATTCATGCAAATGAGCATCCTATTTGCCTAATCAGGAGGAATAATCTGAATAATCATTTGGCGAAGGTATGAAGTCGTGGAACTCTGAGTTGTAAGTATGATGATAATTACCCGTCAAATACATTGTACGATAGCAAATCGCAAGGTGATTGCAGGATAACCACTGACCCGTAAAACAAGCTACAGCCGAGCGTTGTACGATGCTTCTCAAGGCTATTCCGCCCGCTGCTTTTCAAACCTACGGATACGACGTGCGAAAAATTCAAATAATTGGTAGATCGCGCGGTATATGCCATATATGTGCCCTAGGCACATCTGCTTAAACATTATCTTTTGTTGCTGTTGTTGTCTAAGGAAAGCCGTGCCCTGTGTTGGATGGCATCGTTGATGGAACGGTGACAGGTGGCCACCTGTACGGCGATACTGACACATTCACGTGCTCATCTGGGTATCAGCTGGTAGGGGACCAAGACCGGACCTGTCAGGCTGACCAGACTTGGAGCGGGGTCCAGCCGAGTTGTCAAAGTAATACTTATCTTTTGTGTACGTGTGTGGGGGTGTTTTTTTGTGTGTGCTTGTGCGTGTATGCTAAGTAAGATCATCTGTAGTATTAAGATATTCGTCATTTTCTTATTGACAATGAAATAATTGTGTTAGTAATATAACTTTGCCTTGGTATGCATAACTAATGTTACAAGGATGAGTGAGAAACATATGTTCTGCTAATATGAATGGGCGTGACAAATAACATTTTTTAAACCAATCTGCTAAAGAGATATGCTGCACATCACCTCTGGTTGCGAATAGCCTGTATGTAGGAGACACGTGTGTCAACGATACTGTTACGGTAACATGCGACAACGGGTATACACCAGTGGGCAACACTACACTAACCTGTACTGAAGATGGCGTGTGGGATAAAGAAATCCCAAAATGCGAAGGTATTATAGGTTATGATTTTTTACCTTCTTTATTTTCTCCTCTGGTATTAGTTGTACAAAGGACGGCACAAAATCAACTTTGTATAAATTTAAATCAAATACGCATGGTAAAATAAAGTCATTACTAATAAATTCAAAATTGCATAACGTCCCACTCTAAAACACTTATAAATATCATGCAATATTTTATATAAAAACTGTAGTCACTGCTAGGGGGAATGCAACAGTGTTTTGATATGTGTAACACGTTTTATTTTCTGACAAATCTTATTATTATTTCAAGCATTTGAACAAATGAACATGATGTCTGAACAAGAGATCTGCCTTTAATGAAGTATTCTCGACGGGTTTCTGGACGTCCTGTGATCATAACAGAGAACATAGATTTTCAGTTTTAGTTTTTCTAAGAGATGAGGGTTTGATGACGTTTCTCTGTAACTCAAAACTTAACTTGTTTTCTCCAGCAATATGTTGTGACGGTAACCTGGCAATTGGCAACGGTCATGTCCAGTTGGTAGATGGCAAGTTTTGTTACGGAAGCATTGCAATCTTTGACTGCGACACTGGCTACAGTCTGGTTGGAAGTGGCATTGCAAGCTGCCTAGAAGACGGCACCTGGTCGGACATGCCATCATGTGAAAGTATGTAGAAAACCGCCTTCGATTAGTAGCTAACACTTAATTTTATTGACAATAGTACATGCCACATCATCTGGACTTTAAGCCACTTGAAGATTACTTTAGTTGAGCTAAAATATCCCTCGGTCAAATGCTTGCCACAGTTGATATCTGCTGACATCCTTCTTACTCCGTTTGGCATTTTGTTCATGACCCTTTTCAACATTTTCCTTTTTCTTAGGAGTTTGTTGTGGTGAAGTTGGACAGATACACAGTGGCCAGATCACTACAAACGGGACATGCTACAACGATGTTGCGACGTTGACGTGCGATCCTGGGTTCCAGCTAATTTCACATAGTCCCATCGTCTGCAGTGCAGATGGAAAATGGGCTGGCAACAGTTTCTGTGAATGTTAGTAATCTTGTGGACATTAAAGTCACGATTCATTATTCTCATGTCATGGAAATTCATATGTGTTGGCAAACGTAATTATGAAATAATGGCTGAATTTTATGTTATGTCATATACTAAATTTGCACTTACCAACTTTTGGGTCGACTCTGTTACCCCTCTGACTCTTGCAACCAAAATTTAGTTAAGTCCCAATCTAGTTTTAGATTGCTAGTGGAACATAAATTTCAGCCAGTATTTCATAAGAATGAACTGTTGTTGCTTTATTTCAATTCATACACATATCATGGCACATGTAATGTTTTCCTAGGGAGTAACCACTGACAAATTTTCTTCTTTTTCGTAAATCCTACGAAATTTGTTTCTGAGTTCGACGAAAAGCATCATTAATTGCCATATAAAATATTCATAAATCATGTGATTAAAAGTCCACTCGATAGGTTAGGTACCATTATTTTTCTAAAACTAGTTTTCTCTCTATATAAATACATCAACAGCCAACCCAATCTGCATTAGAGAGGACCTGGCGAGCCCTGCAAACGGGCACAAGATCTGTTACACAGTAACTTCCGTTGGAGAAGATAGAGAGCTCTGCACAATGAACTGTAACCCCCCAAAGGTAGGGAAAACTATTCGTATTTCGAGGTTGGTTTATGCTCATTGTAGTGTACATTACTGTCAAACTCTTGCAGAACTCGTTACTTACTACCTTTACTCTCCATGCATGTAGGTATATGGTTTGGATGTAGATACTTATGAGTGTGGAGACTACACCAACTGGCTATGGATGACTCGTCAAAATAACCGACTGTGGTTCACCGATGTTTCTCAATGTCAAGGTTATGTATCTGAGATCCATATTTTGAAATCTTAAACGACCATTACAAAATATCTGTTACAACGTAATGTAGGTTTGCTCGATGACTATTAGACCACCCTGAACCCAGTTCCAACCAAGACTTCTAGATTAATGGGACATTAACCCTATCTAGACCGGGCTTTTTTGGGCTTGGTGGACCGGGGGGGGGGGGCGAACGGTATGTCGTATGACCACCAAATTTTCAGATGATGGTGCAATAGTGAAAATTTATCATATCTACAATTTTTATGTCGTTGTGACGTAATATGACGTCATTATGACGTCATAAATGTGATTTTATTGGCCAAAACCGCCTTGATAGGTTCTTCCCTGAAAACTAAACGGTATACGACATAACTACCAAAAGTGTTTATGACAGATCATTAGGGTGTACTAAGTCTTATGTTGCCCATAGCAACACCGGTGACGTCATAAAATGACGTCATGCATACATTAGCTATCCGCCATCTTGGATCATCAATCTTGAAATTTGAAAAATATTTTTTTCAGGATAAAGCCTAAAATACATTGTAAACAGACTAAAGTCGTTCATATGAACCTTTTTTGTAAAAAGAAATGGGAGTATTGATGAAATTTTAAGGAAAATAACCCGTATATACCTGATCTAATGATATGGTCCGCCATCTTGGATTTTGGCCAATGACGTCATCAAATTAGCATAAATTATGCATTTTTAATGATAAAATTTACATATTGTTATCGGAGATGTTATTGATACTAGAAACCATGTGTAACTTGACATAAAACCCTTAAAATTCTGTTGTTGAAAAGAAAATTATTAAATTTAGCAAAAAATGCCTGTCAGAAACCCGTTGCCATGGCAACACCAAAAATCATTATCTTATTCCAATGATACAGATTTGTTGCCAACAATATTTTAGGAAAAGTCACCAAGTTTCGCGGATCTAGCTCTAGCCGTTCGGATGCTATGTGACATCAAAGTTGGCGCGGGCACTTTTAGCCCCCCCCCGGTCTAGATAGGGTTAACTTCTCAAAAAAACCTGTCACTATAAGAACAACCTTGTGCTTATGTCTTGTCTCTGCCAAAAGTAGAATTTTAAAGATAATGAGAGATCTTTATTATATCTACAACTTGTACTAAACAATAAAATTTTCAATGCATTCCTACAGATTCTGAGGACCCTTTCATGTTTATTGTAATGGGAGGCCTGACTATCATGTCTACTACGGTTACACCACCTCAACTTGCCGCCATTCGAAGGTTCATCAGGGACGAACTATTGAGACAAAGGCTTTGCACCCACCCATGCAGGGTAAAGAAACTGTAACGCAAAATTTTGCCTGGCGTGTTCCGGCGGTACTGCAGTGGGCTTTTTTAATTTGTTGTTGTAGATGTACAGTAAAGCTGTGAATGGATCATAGTAATATTTTGTTGGTGAGTAACATAGGTCAAGTTAGAAAATGGTTTACGTGTCGTGCAGATGTCCCTGCGTTGCCACAGAGGGCTGTGTATGCTCGTGTTTTTGTGTTCGAGAAGTTGTGGATGTTTGTTCATGAATGGTAAATAAAGAAAATGTATATCATAAGTTTGCTAAATGAGGAACTTTCTGCTGCCATGCTATGTCAAGAGGAGCAATAATGGGTATAAATAAACAATGCAAATGACGACCTAATCTGCATTAAGTCCCCAATGACTTATTTTTATCGCGTACTTTTTGCCTGTTTTAAAAAAAAATAAGCTTCATAGTGATGCTTCTGAGCATTTGTTATAATAAGTGTTATTTGCATTTCACAGATCAGCCACATCTCTGTTGACGAAGGTATACGTTCACGTGCACTTACACGTGTAAGGTCCACGACAGATGCTTCTCCCGTATACATCATCGACGTTACTATTCAGCTGTACGTTGAACATGGCAGCCAGCTATCCCTGCAGTCAAACCTCCTTCCAACTGACACGGATGCTTTCCTCAGGTACATGTAGATCAGGCAAAACAACATTAACTTTTCGTGTTTAACAGCATAGCGTTTCTTTGTCAACGCATACCTTGTAAATCATCTAATTTTTTGTGGTTTTGTAGGCAAGTGGCTGTCGATGTAACAAATTTCCTGACGTCGGGCGCATTCGTCATTCCCATCAACGGTGTCAATCTTACCATCGAAGACACAGGAGTCAGCATCTCTGAGCCAACTGTTGGATGTCCTGTCGGATTCCGACCATCAGGCAGTTACTGCGGTGTGTGTTTTGATAGTTTTGATTTTGATGTCGTTTACCGTTTACATTTAGATATACGGTAATTTGATAGAGATGATTTGTATTGCATACCAGTTGCTGACAATATCGATTGCCTCTTTTCCAGTTGCCTGCCCACCTGGATCCATGCATGTCCCAATGTCCGGAGAATGTGCGCCATGTCCTATAGGGACATATCAAAATTCCAGCGCTCAAGCCGATTGCCAGTTATGTCCTGGAGGAACCACAACGCTGTCCCAGGGAAGCAGTGACATAAGCGAATGCAAAGGTCAGATTCACTTTGCAGTAAGATTCTGTCATGGCATTGCACTAATTACATTTGCTTAGAAGGATACGTTTTCAGTATTGTGCGTGCTTTAATCTATTTTAGATTTGAGACGTTGACTCAAGACGCCGTGGGTGGATTAGTATATTTAGCAAGTGTTTAGGCATTGACCTATAAAGGAAACGAAGAGGGGACGATGACTGTGTGTATATACATACACATATACATATACATTATGTTCATGAGAACACTTAGTAGTATATGATAGAAAGTAGTGTATTATAGAAATCGTATATTGTGGTCTATTTCATTCATGTGGAAATAAGCATATTAAGACTCAGATTTTGAAATGCAGGACACATTTGCATAATTCATGGGAATATATATGGTCGTATAATGTTACAGGCCATGGTACCCAGACAAAATCGCATTCTTAGTGGTCCGCCGGATCCAAAGGACTGTCTCTCGGAGAATGTATCAATTGGGTCCGGGCAGTCGGATATTGTGTAACACAGTCAAGGGGGGGGGGGGGAGTAACAGTTGATATGTGATGACATTTTATTACACAATATATGTACGTACAGATTATGCGGATTGTAACTGCGGACCTCATCCTTGTATGCCGACTACTTACGGATGGGCGTGTCAGTGCCCTGTAGGTTATGTGAACAATGACGACAAATGTGTCGGTAAGAGCTGCTGTTATATTTGTACATTTACTCATGAGATATATGACATATGGGCCAATCCGAACATGTGTGCTTTAGAAGGTTTACAGGTACAGAGCTTTGATGTCATTAGGGTGGACAGACGTTTGGAAACCTGAAACCTCAGTGAGATATTTATATTTATTAGGGCTTTTGTAAATTTGTAATTCTTTCTTGTTTCGTTAATCATGGAGATAAGGTAACATGAAGATAACATAATGAATTCTGAATATAGTCATCTATACTAAAATTGTATTTTAAGTCCTTTTTTTACACTTGATAACTTGATAATTATGCTGTGGCATTCCAAGTATGCATTATCTATGCACGATGTCACAAGTATGAAAAAATATTAATTGTGAAAAAGTGGGCCCTTATTTGAATAATTGGTATCTGTTCATGTTCCGCTTGCCATAGATTACATGTCACATGTCCTAAATCCCCCAATGGAATTATACAATGTCCTTATAATATAGATTATGCAAATTAAGCCCTCTTTTGCAGAATTTGTATTCGATTTTGTACATCGGCGGTCTAAGCCACCTACATGTACGTGCCAAAATTATGCAAAATGTGATGTCCCTCTTTTGACTGAACCTCTTCGCGAAATATAACCCAAAGACACCCTTGCAGTTTCCGAGCAATCTTCTAGCCACTGTGAAATTAAAACCTCCTAAGGTATTCTGACCACAAACATACGGAAACATTCAAAACAATACCTACGGTTTTATGGAGGTAACGAATGCAGGGATAAAATATATGCATTTAAATGTGATTGGATTGTAATGTTAACAACGTTGAACGTCTAATAACGCATTGTATAAATTACACTTTTAAATATCAATTCAATTTTATGTATTAATACACTATGGTGTTTTCAGTCCGTGGTGCGTGTCCGGAGGGGTCTAAGGTGTTAGGAGACGTGTGTTACATGGTATCTAACACTACGGCCACCTATCGGGGGGCAGGGGACGTCTGTCGGCTGATGGGAGGACAACTTGTCGTTGTGAAGAACAAGGAAACGCAGGTAATTTCATACGGAATAATTTCAATAGTTATATGATCAACAATATCAATGCCAGGCAGCAAAATGGATTATTCTTTCCGTATCCCTTATACAATATCTAGTATCTTTTGACGAATGCCTTAAAAAAGACACGCATTGTCACTTGTAAAGATCACATGACTTGATGTTAATCATTAATTGACAAGACACAGTAATATACAGTATCTGTATAGTGTCCGATCTTATATCTGTACTGCCAAAGTCATCTGTCAACAAAGACAAAACATCATCTTTTAATGTCACCTTAGTTGCAATGTGTTATATAGGGTATGCGGAGTTGTTTTTCTAAAAGTACGGTATCTGGTTCATTACGGTATCTGATCTAAGTTTGGTATGCCATACCATACATATATACTTGTACGAATTGTGAACAGTAGATATTTTGAGCCCTAATACAATATGCGTACACAGCACTTTTTATCACTTACGGTCCATATCGGTAGGGTATAAGGTCAGAGGCCCTGACATTGTTAAGAGCCTCATTCTCTGAACATGTCAAAGAACCAGTGCCCACATAAAGTGATACCCCGAGGCGTGTGAAACTAATATTTGCATATTCTATGCGCAATTTGTGCAAATTGGAGTAGAAGTGAGTAGTGTAACACCCGCGATAAATGTGTTACAAATGATACGTGTAAAAAATTATACAATTGCCATTCTTACACTACTTTTATAAGGACTTCATAGCTGCAAACAGCGATGGTAAGGACTTGTGGATCGGATTGGATGATCAGCTGGACGAAGGACAGTTCAAATGGTCTGACGGAGCCGCTCTCGAAAGTTTCACTTATTGGGCACCAGGTGAGCATAATGTGTCATCTTCTAAACTAACAATTCTAAGATTTAGTGTCTTTTTAACAGTTGGGATCAAGCACCACTAATGCTGAGGTCACATTTCCAAACCGGGGCCCGGCCGGGCAGCTTTTGGGAACGAAAAGTACGAAATAAAAGTCAACAAAACACAGAAACGTTTTCGATGATAATCATGGGCACTACATGTATATCTATATACTCTTCATATGGATTGTTAAGTTTTCCTTCATACAGACACCCCGGTCGGGCCCCGGTTTAGAAATGTGACCTAAGCATTACTGACCAAGTAATGCGGGTCTGGACCTTTTGAAGTAGCAGTCCGGGGTCGATTCCCGATGTCCCGGAAGTCAGGGGTTGTCTGTATCTACTCGATCCTTAGTGTTTCACTGGTCCCCACACGTACACCAGCCCTGTGAGTATGGCAAAGTGCGCTGCATAGGGATATCGAGCTTGGAGATTCGAGGACGAATCTCAAAAGAAAAGGGGGAGTGGTTTAGCAGTGGGGCATAGGCGCCGCTAACTGACCCAGTCCTTTTGGTCTAGTGGTTAGGGCGTTGGACTGGGTCAGTAAGTGGCGCCTATGGTAAATAGGTTTTGGGTCATAGATAGAGTGGCGTAAACTTGGACTCCCTAGTGGTGGGGAAGTGCAATAAGCATTTTTGTGAAATAAATTAAAAGGGCAGTTTATCTCCCTGCTTTCATCTAGGTTAACGACCTTCTGGCCAAGGCAAATCAGCTCTCTGTTGAACATTGCCTAACATATCCTCAAACTTAAACATTCATTAGAAAATTAAAATGCTGATAGCTACTGATATCATTTAGATGTGAATAAAAACTAAATATCTTTTATGTTGCTGATACTGAACAGAAATTGCAGATTGTACCATTGTCCTTACCTAATTTCCCTGAAATGCTAAGATGGCTTTTTTTCGCAACATAAGACTGTCATTGAACAGCGTAATCGCTGAGTCATCACCTTTCTAGCCGCTGATTGGCTAACTTTATAAAGTCAGTGCAAAACGAGATACTGTAAGCTGATTGGTTAGCTCCTAGAGCACCCTGCCCTGAGCTAAGTAACAGGCAGGGCGCCCTGACCTTACTGTGATAGAAGAGTATAAAAGGCAGTGCGGTACAACTCTTGTCATTTCTGATGAAGACTTTGGAATAAAAAATCGAAACCGGTAAAATTGATAGTCTCAGCAGTCATCCTTATGACGAACTCTTGACTACAAGACTGCCATTGGGTCAGAATATGATCGACTGAACAGTCGTAAAGGTCAATGTCATTTGACGAAGGCGTGAAGTCGTGTGTAACTATACTTTTTATCTAACTTCTTTTAGGTGAGCCCAATGACGCATCGACAACCTCTTCCCAGGACTGTGTGCATCTGTGGCCGCTGGCGTCGTTCCGCTGGGATGACCAACCGTGTGACAGGATGGAGTACTTTGTCTGCCAGTTCAGCGTAATGGCCGATCCCAATACCATTGGTAATTGAGGCATTCTAGGCCAAGGGAATAACAACATCCCCAGTAATAATCATGATCATCATCATGATCATTGGGTCTAGCAATACCTGGTCATAGACGAAAGACACCCTTTAGTAAGACAAACGTAAGGGACTTTGTGCCGGAAAAACTATATGTAATTCAGGCTGGACAGCAAAGTGTCACTAGATTTTTATTTGATTCGGATCTGTTTGAGATTTCAGATAATTTTCAACAGTAATAGCATAAAGACTTGCTCATGATAATACGGATGTAATATATATGAATGGTTTATTTCAGTTGATACCTCGCAGCCACTTGGCTGAATTACGTACAACTTACAAAATGTCTCTAACTGAATCACATCCAAAGTAAAAGTGTTACACAGATTACGATAATTTACGGAAATTGTAAACTAAATTTGCAATAATTCCACATATGATCAATTTCTTTCAAAAAGTCAAGTATTAAGAGCAGACAAATTCAGTATCAATTAGTTCAAAATCTAAAATACTACACACATTTCATTAAGAGAAATGGCATTAAAAGTAGTAGGGAACCCATATATGATCATGTACTCCCAATGCAAGCTACTGCCATACTGTCCACTGTCATTATCGATTGTTGGCTAGGAAAATTTGTCATAAAAACGGAATGTTATAATTTTGATTTTTCATTAAATGACCAAATGACATGGATAGGTTCACCTGATAATCTGAATTTCGAGCCACACGAGAATGTTGCAAATAGCATTAAAAAATATGCGTCGTCTAGATCTGTTGCAAATGAAACGCTTTTAAGTTCAAATTATCATTAGCAATGTGGACAATTTGCTGTCCTGATCATAAAGTTTGCCAGTTTATTCCCACTAAAACTTCACCTTAAATGACATCATCCTTTTTCTTCATTTGTCATCGAGAATATACTACCAATGGTTTAGATTTACATTTAAGAGATTTTTTTCTTACAATCGAATGTCATCTTTTCTAGCCCCTTCTGGTTGTGTAAGTCAAAGCTTTGCAACGTGTGCATTAAATAAGATAAAATATCTAAAAATGGTGTCTACCCCTGTTTTGTTGGTATTTGATATTAATGTATAGATAGAAATAGATTGATAGATAGATAGATAGGTGGGTATATGGATGGATTGATAGATAGATAGATAAATAGAGAAAAATGAGAAACTGTGGGGTACTGCTATAGTTATATATTATTGTGTATAGGGCGATCCTTCGGGTGGTTTTTCTCCGCTTTATTACCTTCGCCAAGAAGGTTATGTTTCCGTTGGCATTCGTGTGTCCGTGTGTGTGTGTGTGTATGTATGTATAACAAATCGCTTTAAAAATTTTATGCTCTACAACTCATCATTGGTACAAACTGACCCTTTTAGGTCGCTCGTTGAGCCTCCCCTTGTTTAGGAAAAAATTGATTAAAACTGTACGCCCCACCCCCATTACTTACCTTAGTTCCGGTCCTTGCTACTCCTGCGCTTTACGCACACGTTTTTGGCTCGGTACACACAGTCTAAACCAAAGCTTATTCTCTCGTAATTTAGTTTCAAGTCCAGCTTGTTCCTGTGGTCACCCATGTGAAAACATTAGTCACTTTTTGTTACACTGCCTTAACTACGTACTCTCAACAGCGAAATACAGTTTTTGGAAACTTGAAAACACTGATTGGCTTTATTACTGACTTGGATGATCTTTCAGGTGATATTCTGGTACACTTAAATTTTAAAAGGTTCTTCTTTTCTCTCAACAATGTACAATATTCAAATATTACAGCATGTACAGACATTTTTGTTATACGTTAGAATGAAATGCTTTGTGTGTGTGTAACTTGTAACGTGTAAGTGTAACTGGAGTGTGTCGCCACCACGTCTTGTCATTATATGTTTCACAAAAAAAAAAACACCCGACAGGAAAAGCTATCCGCCACTAAAAAGTCAATACCATAGCATGTCCAGGACAAAAGATACAAAAACGGGAAGTTCTCCTGCAGTACCAAGGTCAGCCACCGGGAGGCCCAAAATTGACCTTGACCTTTGCCTACCCAACACCTACCAACATACCAAATATCATTACAATCCATCCAAAAGTTCAAAAGTTATGCTGGCCGCAAATGTCCGGAAACACAAACACACAGATACACAAACAGACAAGCCAAAAACAAAACCCCCATTTTTCATGGAGGTAATAACCCAGAACCCAACCTCTGCTTTAATTGGAGAGTAGCATAGAGTAGTCACGTCTTGAACTTTTATATCACCGCTTAACAACGCCTACTACGGTTGCCGCCAGTACTGCAGCATAGAGGTCACCTGCCATCCACAGTACAACATAGTAAACATACTCTGCACACATGTTTTCCGGGTCGACTGGTACACCTTTGTTACCTCAGTCTATTGCTACGAGGTGGGTATAGTTCTCCACTTTTTAGCTAGTTAGTGTTTCTTATCGCAAATGTTATGACTCTACTCCTAAGTTTAACTGATTACTAGTACTACAACCCTCCCCGCGCCCCACCTGGTAACCTGATCGCGTCACCTGTTGTCATAGCAGCGGTTGACGTCACTAGCTCGCCGTAGTCTCCATTTCAGGGATCGGCCATTTTTTTGCGTGGGAGGGGTATTTTCTAATCAAACATTGATCGCACGCATAGAAGCTCCGGCCGCCAAACCTAGTATGCTATCTCTGTTTTTTTTTATTCCTTAAATAGTATACTAGGTTTGGTGGTAGGACCTTCTAATGCGTGCGATCTACGTCAGATTAGAAAACAAGATTTCCCCCCCCCCCTCCGAAACAAATGACCGATCCCGGAACGCCTGAAAGCTCACAGTGAGGTCAGATGGGGCCATGTCAGGTGAGCTACGGTTCGTGGAAGGTCCTACAGTTTTCCTGTAAATTTTTCAGACGCGGAAAGGCTACAATGAAGTCATGAAGTTGATTATAGCTAGTAGAGGATGGCCTGATCATTACGTTAGGCGGGGATTTACTACAACTAAAACCACACGCACGTGATTCCTACATTCAGGGGTGGTTTCCCTACCTTTTCAAGTACGGTAAGCGATGACTTTGAAGTATCCTATTGTGTGGTGTCATGGATTTTCGCATGGGATTTGCATGGATAATTCACTATCAACACTCGCACTGACTCGTGCATTTTGAAGTACTGCAACAGTGTCGCTGGTGTACTAACAAAATAAATAAAGTAAAGGTGGTCACATTTATTGTTACATGTTCCAAATGCTCGGTAACATTACTCTTGAAGCGTCGTTAATATGTTAGTCTGGTATCCAGTCTTACGTGATTGGGGGTGTTGGGGTGTTCAGGCAGGCTGTGCCTTCGGGGGCTATGATAGCTTCCCCCGCCCAGTGCAACAGACCGTCCCGGCCCGGTAGGAGTGTTACGCTAATATAATAAGAGACAGTATAGCCTGGTATCCAGTCTTACGTGATTGGGGGTGTTGGGGTGTTCAGGCAGGTTGTGCCTTCGGGGGCTCTAATAGCTTCCCCCGCCCAGTGCAACAAGCCGTCCCGGTAGGAGTGTTACGCTAATAAGAGACAGTATGCTTGGGCATTTGGTTGTGGAGGGCTAATCAATCTCTCGTGAAATACACACCGGGAAACCTATGTGAGGCGGGCGGGACAGAGCTCTTGCGGCCCCGACCACGATCAGTAAAATGTAGGATTTCAAAGTCTGTAGTGTTCTCTTTCGTGGACTTGTTCTTAAAATAAAATCTCAAAATGTAACTGTGGACGTCCTCGACGATTTGGGACTGTTAAGAATTATTCATATATTTTAAATAGTACACAATAGACTGGATACGAGTGAGAGAGTTTGGAATACAGGAAATTTAGACAAAAAGAAAGTAAAATGATGTATTAGATATTTTTGTCCCAGTTTAAAAAAAACGACGTCATGTTTAAGTATTGTAACCCAAACCTCAGTGTGGGAAGTTGTTGACTCAATAATTAAAATTATTCACAACACGAAAAACGTTTTCTGGGATGTAGTAAAAGCATTGGATAGTATCCTTTTATCTTTGGGTATGGTTGTGGGATTAACTTGATTGATTTGTGACCTTATTACGCCAGGGTTGACCTTATGTGTACATGTACGATGTAGGTTAACTCCCGTCTAATGTCCCAAACGTAAAACCCGGAAACTCGGACTAACCTGTGTAGCTAGGTTTATACTGTATATCTTCCGTATAGCCCTTTGCAAAAGGCACTATGTCTTAGCCTCCATAGCATGCCAAAAACTGGAGGTTTTGGGGGTCTTCAGAGTCTTTGGGAGCTTTTATGTGCTATTTTCTGATTGCATATAAACGACAAGAGCGGCTCCTCCTCCCGCGACCGCCACCTACTCTGACTTGCACAAAGTGCCCCCGACGTTTTTATACTTCACTAGGCCTGACCAGCCACCTAAGACATCGACACCCCCAGAACAGCTGAGGATGAGACGACACGAACCCAGATGCTCGGACCCGAGCTGACGCCAGACGACGACGACGACGATAGACAACATAACCGGTCTGGTTGAATTATCCCCGTTTTAGAACTGGGCTAATCAGAAAACAGCCAAAGACCACCAAACCCCCTAGTTCTATAAGCCTGCTACGGAGGCTAACTATGTTTGTCGCTTAGAGCTCGGTCAGCGGACGCATGGCATGTGTACTGAAGAGTTTGCCATGCATTGTACGCGTTACAATTGTTGTGCAAATAAAGATTGACTTGACTTGTGTACGACAGTGACTGGAAGGATTTGTTTGTCCGTCGTGGCTGTGTCGTGCCGTGCATTTTAGCTGTCTTACGACAGAAAAGATTGTCCTTTAATGATACCGACAGTCATATAAATTGTCGCAGAAAAACCGACGAACCCCACACTAAAAAAACACTACCCGCATTTACCGAGACCACAGTCCCTTGAAATTGTTTTCCATTTTCATGCCCCCCCCCCCTCACACCAAAAAATGGGCACAAGCACGCTCTAACGTACACAACCACACGTAAGATTCTTTATTGACACAACAAAAAGTACAGGGACTTTTGTATGGTCTTCCCACGTGGGTCTTCCACAACTAAAGGTCTAACAAGGTTAAATACATAGTATGGACAACTTCATCCTCGTACAGAATATATGTACATGTATGTGGCAAATTACGTACAGAATATATATCAGTGGTAACAATAAAGCTTTAACTATATATATTGTCTAACATGTAGTCTCTAAGATTGAAACATTCTTTAATGTATTTTCCTATTTGAGAACTGTATTGGTTTTCTCCCCTGAGAATGTAGATGAATTTGTCTATAGGATCTAACGTATTGAAATCAGTTGAACAAGTGGAACACATAAAAACATGCACACAAACGCACACACACACTATTTGCGTGCTGTCTACGTGTAGACATTATAGATACCACTTAACAGGATGAAAACGGCATATGTTGAGCTGATGGGATGGGGTAGATAGTTGTCGGTACCATCCTTTACTTTAGAGAGAGCCATTCTAGTTCCCGTTGTTCGAAACGTCCTTTTCTATTGGTTTCTCAGCTCGTGATAACACGTTTTATGTCAGTTTTCTCAAAGCTGCTACTGACAGTACAAAAACAATTTTCTGGTCATTACAATCAAACCTGCTCTATTACAAATATGTGCCGTTAAGGAAGTCAGGTGCCCAAAAATGTATGAGTGAGTTTTAAAGCTGGAAATACAGGAAAATCAGTCATGTTTGTTCACATTCTCAATTGTATTTTGTGGTGGCGCCTCAAAATGAATACATCCCGTGTTGGCTGTATTAGCACCAATCATAATTGTCAGAAAAGTGAAATAATAGCACAAATATGCTGAAAAGCTAGATTATAAATAACAATCGTATGAAGATTTCAACAATCAAAACATTTTGATTTTTTGTGAAAAAATGTTACGCAATGGGCCTTTAAGTGATATGTATACAGGTGGATTCAGCCACCTGTCAGAAATATGAACATGTGTATTATATATAATCATAACTGCAATACGTTCCTTCTGTCTAACACGTGATGTGTACTTTTACCAACGTGATGGTATGAACTACAGTTAGACATATTGGTAAACACCTAGTTGACGTCACTATAAAATAAATAGGTCCCTTTTTTTTTACCCGGAAGTGTAGAATGGAAAGTTCCTCCGCGCAGCCCTGCACGTGATTGGTGCTTGCATTGATTATGTTATGGTTCCGGGCCAGTCCCGGGTACACAACATGACAGGCCGAGCTAAAAATAGCCACTTAAAAAAGACATACCCCTTATAAGACAACGTGGTAGGCATGGACCTACACTCAACTTGTCCACCGTTCACCAAGCAACACCACAGAAAATTGTCCTCGAGTCTACAGGAAAAACTTTTCAGTTCTGATGAAGATTTCTGTTGTGGTAAGTCTTTTTTTTTTCTTTTAGTTTTATATTTCTTATAAGTTGTGAGTATTTCATGGAATATTTTTGCCTTCGTTTTTTTTTAACCCGACAGTTACATTTTCATCCCCTGTAAATATTTTACAGTGCTCTTGTAGACAAGTTGTGCAAGTTCTGACCTGAACGCTTTTCGTCTGGTACAATTAAATGTAGCAGACAAACGCTTTAACCTGTGTTATGTATGAGCTCTTACGGTCTAGGGGGCTTGGCAGGTATTGCATATTTAGCGAAGTTATTCAGTGATACGCTTCGGCTACTTTGGCCGGAAACCAAAGAGACACCTGTTCAGTAAAGCTACACTGAGACCCCGTGCATGTTTACGTAAATTAGCCCCGCCAAAGTAACTTTAGACAGCCATTGAATACGTCTGTACTGACATATAAGTAACGTTATAATATTCTCAACAACAGAAGGCTATGTCCCACGGTAAACGTCAAGACGGCGCCGCGTAAAAGTTTAAAGTTAACTAGGGTGTGGCATTCCCCAACTCCGAACCGGAAGTTCAGAGCGCTGGCAGCGCACTGCGCTGTGATTGGTCAATCCTCGGGGATTCCCCGTGAATAATTAAGCCGCAAATATAGCACTACGTCACGAGGGACTCCCTGTGTTTGGAGCAGGAAGCAAATGTGTTCGTCGCGCAGTAAACACAAATAAACAGTTTTTAGGAGCGGTTACCAGGCCCCTTAGCCTGGTATCCAGTCTTACGTGATTGGGGGTGTTGGGGTGTTCAGGCAGGTTGTGTCTACGGGGGCTCAAATAGCTTCCCCCGCCCAGTGCAACAGACCGTCCCGGTAGGAGTGTTATGCTAATAAGAGACAGTATGCCTGGGGATTTGGTTTGGGGGATAGCCTGGTATCCAGTCTTACGTGATTGGGGTTGTTGGGGTGTTCAAGCAGGCTGTGTCTACGGGGGCTCTAATAGCTTCCCCCGCCCAGTGCAACAGGCCGTCCCGGTAGGAGTGTTACGCAAATAAGAGACAGTATGCTTGGGGATTTGGTTTGGGGGAGGGCTAATCAATCTGTCGTGAAATACACACCGGGAAACCTATGTGAGGCGGGCGGGACAGAGCTCTTGCGGCCCCGACCACGATCAGACTGGATAACAGGCTAGAGCATGATGGAAATATGTTATTCAGTGGCCATACACATGTGCAAAAGTGAATTGTATGAGCGCTTGTCTTGCATTCGGTAGTTCCTGAGTTTGATCCTCGGCTGAACCATTGTATTAAAGGCATAAGTACTGTTTAGTACTCGTAATGAGAATAGGAGTTACAATACACACCACTACCAGTGGACTAAGTAGCCCTGTTGCACAATTATGCGGCCCAGGGGCTACAGAAACGGAGATGGGCGCTGCCATATGTACCATATGTACATGCAGGACTAACGTTATATACGTACAAGCTATGTATGGCGGATACAATAGGAGATCCCTGCATAGAAAGTAGAATTTTTGTTTTCTGTTTGTTTGTGTGTGTGTGTGTGTGTTTGCTTGTTTGTTTCTCTCTATCTCTCTCTCTCTCTCTCTCTCTCTCTCTCTCTCTCTCTCTCTGTGTGTTTGTTTGTTTTCTTCTAGTTTTTAGTCCAGTTTTATTCACTGTTGTTCTGAAAGTGTTATTTCTTTTTCACACAACCGAAAGTCTTACATACAGGGGCTTCATCATCATTTTGACACCTTGACTCATCTGCCCTTTTCTCTTATCTAGATCACATTTGCTGTCGCCCTCATGGCTCTTGTCGGAGCCATTGACGCACAGAAGAGAAGATCGAACGACAGACGACGTGAAGACGGTGCAAAGGAGAGAAGGAGACAGAGCAGAAACAAAGGACACTCCGAGAAAAGTCAGACGGAGTGTCAAGACCTCTCTGAGAAGCAAAAATCAAGGTAAAGACTCTTGTGTTAATTTTTATTCAATTTTTCATTTTGACACGATAGGAGCCATGAAGGCAACATACCAGGCTAGTTTGTCATTCAAACATTAAATTTCAAACCTTTAATCGATCCAGTGCATTGACAGATGGAACACTGTAACAACTATGAAGAGAATGGGCCTCCATTAACTGTTGGGACAAAAAATGAGCATTTTGGAGTTGATTCAGAGGCTGAAATGTTGTTTTTTTTTGCAAATCAGAAAATCCGTGAACCAACAAATTAAATTGGTGTGGCCTAAAGGAAGAATCACACTGTTCCCATTGTCCCTTTACCTGATCATTGTACAAAAAAGCGAGAAGTTGACTCTGTATTAGGTCAGCAACCAGAACACTTTGTATTAGCCTAGTACATGTATAGTACCCAAGTCAAGTAGTGTATCTTTTGTCTCTACTTTTCTATATACGTTTGTAATGTGTCTTAAGTCTTGACCTGTACCTAGCCTGTTGTGGCATGAATAAATGTATTTCATTTCATTTCATTGTTGTTTGTAAATTTTCCCCAGGAAGTTGAGGGGAGCGCGTCAAGCGTACGAGAAGACCACGCCCATCGTGCTGGCGGAGCAGCTGAAGAACGACGCGGGCAGGAGGAAGCGGAACGCCGAGATGTCCTGCCCGGAGTCGGCGGTGGCTCACGATGGGGACATCAGCCAGCGCGCCATCAGCCCCTGGGCCTGGGAGCTGGACGTGGACGTCAACCGGTACCCAACAGGTCAGTAGTATTATTTAAGGAGTGTTATTATATTTTATTTTATTTAATTTTTATTTTACTCACATAGTTTATGATAGGAAGCACACACGTGCTTATAAGATATTTTCCTCAAGAACATAAAACGTACTAAATACAGGTTGAAACTAGAGAAGTAGCATTTGCAACGCAAATGCATATAATGCTTACCTTTGGACATGGTCTGCTCTGTTAATTCTTACTCAAACACATTCACATACATGTACTACTAGTATATGGTGACAGGAGTAGAACAGACCATGAAATTGCAACATTATATAACCCAACACTAGTCACCATGGTGACAGACAACAACAAATCATGTCATTGGTTAGGTCAGAAGTCACTGTTTGGAGAAGAAGAAGAGGAAGAAACAGAGCAAAAAAAAAACAATATGTTGTCCTTCAGTAAACATAATAACGGAGTGCTTGGGGGTTAAATTTGACTCTAATTCGATTTGATTGCTTAAAAAAAGTAGGCGCTCAATGAAGCTTATTTATGAATAACATATCGTTTTTTTAAAGGAAACACAAATTATGTATTAACGTGTATTTTGTATATCTGTTTTCCCTCTCTACAGAGATCGCCAAAGCTAAGTGCCTGTGCACGGCCTGCCTTGTCAACGGCGTGCAGGACTACAACTATTTCTCCGAGCCCATCTACTCACAGATGAAGGTTCTGCGCAGGTCCAAGTGTGACAGAAAGGGCCGGTGGCGCTATGAAGTGGCCTGGGAGGACGTACCTGTCGGCTGTACCTGTGCCACGCCCAAGAGCTAGGTCATCGACCAATCAGAGATCACATTTACCCCTTCCCATGATGCATAGCGGTATGAGTCAGAATTTATTAGTTCCTTTGATGGTCCTCGACAAAACAGAGATCACCTTTTCCCATTCCCATGATGCATAGCGGTATAAGTCGGAATTTATGAGTTCCTTTGATGGTCCTCAACCAATCAGAGATCACCTTTTCCCATTCCCATGATGCATAGCGATATGAGTCAGAATTTTTTACTTCCTTCGATGTCTTTACATTCGTGGATGTTGAAATTCCAAATAATGAAGGTTTTTTATATTTATATGAATTCTTTAGCGCAATAGTTGTATTTTTCTTCTATTGCACATTGACAGAAGGTAAATCGTTACCACTAAAGAGAGTACATGTAACGTTTTTAAGCAAGTGTACATGTTTCTGTTTAATAACACATTGATTTTACACTCTTTTTGTTGTCAGATAATAAGTAGTAAGTCAACTAAATTTGAATACGAAATGCTCCAACACTAGTTAACAACAAACAAACAAACACAGAAACAAAACTGTATAACGTTAACGGTATATACCTTATATTGAATCCTTTATTAATAGCGCTATGCATTCTGGGAATGGTAAATAGGTGAATGGTTCCTGTCGTATTGAATTCTCGCAAAGCTTTTTTTATCTATTTATTGTAATATCATCTCAGTGTCAACTACCTTTATGAATTCTGTGAGAGGTGGTGTAAAAGGAAAGAAACAACGTGGTCACACATCTTCAAACAAATTATTTTAAAACAATGACAGTTGGTAGGCATTGATTAAATGCAGGTAGAAATTGTGTTTTTAAAACAACACAAAGTCATATATGAAACAAGTTCAAACTGCAATTTCCAACACAACAAATTGGACTCACAAATTTTCGACTGTACAACTCCAGTCGTCGTCAAAGAATGACTGGAGTTGTACAGTCTAAAATTTGGGTGAGTCCAATTTGTTGTGTTGGAAACTGCAGTTTAAAATTGCTTCATAATGTTTTCTACCAACACAGATGAACTTTCATGACAAGGGCATATAGAATAAGGGAAAGTCGTTGTGTACCACTTGTTTCTTTCCTTTGCCAGCAGTCCCTATGTTTAGAGCACTAATTACTTATAAGAAATGGTAATAGGAGATACTGAGAAGAGGTGTGTAGGTAAGTTCAGGCTATGTCTGCGAAGTAACTAAGTTTGTTACTGTACATAGGAGCACGGTCTCTCCATGTTCGAATGCGCTATCTCAACTTCCATAGGAAGTTATACATTAATCCAGACGGTCACGTTTTAGTTGACCAGTACAATAATAATAAGCCATTCTCCAAAAACGGAGAACATAAGTGGTATGTAAGGTTCTAACTTACTTTGTCTTAAAAAGACTGACTAGACTTGCAAGTTATGCTGTGTAAAAGTACTTCTCAAAGAAGTTCGAACATGTCGACTTTGTAAACATTGTCGCTAATTTCTTTTTTTGCAATAGAAATGTTTTTTCTGCGCTAATAGATTTATATATAATATATATATATATATATATATATATATATATATATATATATATATATATATATATATATATATTGGTGGTAAAGTAATTGAACATTACGATATGCGTTAATTTTTGCTAAGAAAACAAATGATCAGTTGTAAATTTAATGATTATTATAGCGTTCACCAGAAGTATTTGTAAAATGTGTAGTGATCATATTGATTGAACACAGACATACGTACAAGAATGAATTGTATATATTTGCAACGCGTCATATATATATCGTAATAGTTTGTGTTAATTTTATCTGGCGTAACTGTTGTAACTTATGAATTATCTGTGTCGTGTCACTACTTCGTTCCTAGTTGTGAAATAAAAGATTTTTTACATCTAACTTCTCGTGTTGAGCTTTAAGTTCGTTAGTTTAGTCTTTTTTTTTTATTTGCACATAAAACAAGTAAATTTGTTATAAATGGTAAGAAAAATGCATGAAAACAAGAAACTCTAAAGTTCTACCTAGAGTTTCCCCTCAGATGCTATGATTCCAAAATTATTAATTTTAACCCAGTATCATGCATTGTAAATAAGATAAAACAAATATAACAAGACTGGCAATGAAAACATGCATTGCCATGGCGACGGTGGTTGCTGTTAGGGTTATTGTTTGCATGGCACTGCCGTCATTTCATGATTTTGAGAGAGACTTGGTACCTGTTAAGTCTAGACAGATACAGTGCACTCCTCCCCTGAGTGTATAGTGAAAGAGCCCTGGGGTCACAGAAAGTAGGGCCATCCGGGGCAGAGAGGTCTTCCCAAGAGTTTCCAGGAATGTGGGCATAGATGTGGGTCAGAGACATGCCTGTACACATTCCATTCCCGTGGACAAAATGCCTGTACCATTCCTATGAATTCTTGCAAACTGCACACAATACTGTACCATTAGGATCCTCCCTGAGACGTCGCCAAAAACAATCATTATCGAGAAAACGTAAAACCCCTGGTGGATCCTGATTTCTTACTTTGTGGGTTTCCTTCTCTACACCTGGACAGTTATCTTTAATCTTTTCCTTATCGAATTATTATTATATATGTAGTCTTCTGGACCGGCGAGAGACCACGTATTCCAATCTAAGTTAGCCTGGTAATACCGTATCCAGTCAGATTGTGGTCGGGGCCACAAGAGCTCTGTCCCGCCCGCCTCACATAGGTTACCCGGTATGTATTTCACGAGAGATTGATTAGCCCTCCCCCAAACCAAATCCCCAAGCATACTGTCTCTTATTAGCGTAACACTCCTACCGGGACGGCCTGTTGCACTGGGCGGGGGAAGCTATCAGAGCCCCCGACCGAAGACACAACCTGCCTGAACACCCCAACACCCCCAATCACGTAAGACTGGATACCAGGCTAAGTCTAAGTGCGCTATGAAAGGGTAACCCCCTTAACGTTTCTTTGTCACCCTGTGACGTTTAGAAAAATGTGCGGGAAAGTCTCAAAGGAGGAACTTGTACAGGTGATTCCCACGGTGGATACCTCCGCTCCGCTCGGGTGACTTTGACTTTGCCCGCCCTGTTACTTTACCCTGGGCGCCAGCCAATTTCACGGGCCGCTAACCGTTTCCTTCGGCAACCAGAAGCCCTACGCCTGCAGACCTAAATTACCGCTGCGGTGGAGTTGAGCCCGTGGGGAGGTTTCGGACAGCCAAGCTACCCCCGGGCTAGACTCCCCCGTAGCGGTAATTTACACCAGCGGGCGAAGGGCTCTTGCGGTTCGGAAAACGAGTTTGGCTTCCAGGGTATGTTACTTCGCCTCTCTGACAAGAGGCGAAGTAACAGGGCGGGCAACAAGGCAAGAAAAAAATGTGACGGTATTGTAGCACGTACGAGGCGTTACTCTAAGAGCCCATTTCCCTACATTGTGAAACTCCTTAATGATTCATAAATGTAAATAATTAATACATTATGTCTTTTTATCATGTATGTATGTAGAAGTTGCATTTTAATTTTATCCACAAACTAGAGTTAAAACACAAACAAACAAACAAATAAACAAATAAATGTCTGTCATTGCTTTCTCAGTACGTCGGAGATACAAAATCTTGATACAAAATCTTCAATTAACTAGCCTCCATAGCATGTCAAAACTGGGGTTTGGGGGGGTCTTCAGGGTCTTTGGGAGCTTTTATGTGCTATTTCCTGATTGCATATAGACAACATAGCCAGCCTGGTTGAATTACACCCGTTTTTAGAACTGGGCTAATCAGAAAACAGCCGAAGACCACCAAACCTCCAGTTCTATAAGCCTGATACGGAGGCTACAACACCAGCTAAAGCTCCAATGTGGGAAATCCTGGGGATTTCCCGCGCCATGACGTCACCATCCGCTGACGTCACCCAGGGTGGCGTGACCTGCAAAGGCGGAACTTCAAAGGGAAAGTAGGTGAGCTCCAAGGTGGAACTTTTCACTCTTTACATATACATGTGTTTACATCATACACGTGGCATTTTCTTTTTCCGGCTCATTAATAGGAAATGATGGGGAAAGTTCCTGTATGTACTGGGCGAAAATAATGTTACGAAATAACACGGAAAGGTTTAGGCCACATCACTAAGAAAGGCTACACCGACTTAATTTTATGGATGACATCCTCTGAAGACCCACAAACTAGTGCGCGCGGGCGAATAAAAAAAAATTCTGGCAAAAAAATAAAAATGCTACTAAACCACAGGAAAACAAAGCTGGTATTGTGAATTTGCGGCAGTACATAGCGACGTATACGACAAGCCGGCACATGCTGGCTTTTTGCGGAATTTATGAGTCGGCACTGTGCGTATGTACTGAGTTCTTGAGTGGTGGAGATTCTGTAGCCTGGGTGCCGTCCTCCAGAGTTACCACCGGCTCCGTATTGTCGCTAACTACCATGGACTACCCAGGCCTAGAGCCAGGCCAGAGCCTTGGAGGACGTGATTTTATTTTTATTTTTTGAGAACTTGACAGGCCAAAATTAAAAAAAAAAATCAATGCGCGCGTGGATGTCATCCATAAAATTAACTCGGTGTGGCCTTAGTCTGAAGTAAATATCACGGAGGTCATGCGCTACCACAATAATGACTGTTCGCATGGCGTAACTTATGTGAATACTGTAATTCCTGATTTTTTTTCACTGTACTGTTATGTTCATTGTTTTCACAGTCACTTCTGTACCATGAACTTATCATTACAGTTAACAAATAATTCCTGGACTTTCTTTTTCCTGCACCTGTCACCACCGTGAATATATGGTTCCGTGAACATGTCCATTTTTGTCAGACCGTGAACTTTTGCTACCGTGACCATAAACGGGATTACAGTACTCATAAGGTTGTAACATACAGTACCTGGGGTCGCGTGGCGCAACGACAAAGCGTTCGGTTCGTATAACCAAGAGGTCCCGAGTTCGAATCCTGCCATGCCACCGATCTTGTGCCCTTGGGAAAGGCACTTCACACGAATTTCCTCACTTCATTCAGTTGAAAATGAACATGTCTGTAGTTCGTTCATGAGTTCGTCTGCGTTGGTGGCGGCGTTGTGAAAATAAGTTGAAAATTCTGAATGTGTCGTCAACATGTCTTGTGATAAAATGTTGGAATAATAAAAGAAATACAGTACCCAGAGACTAGACTGGGGTTCAAAACATAGCGAGCCACAAATGTGTTACTAAACATTGCTACATATGGT